TATTTCACCTAATTGGTCTAAAAAATTTTTTTGATAAGGAATTAATTTTGCAAATAATGTGCCATTTTTGAGTGTCTGTGCTGTTCTAGTGACTGGTGGCGTAATCATGTAATAATTCCTTATGACTAGATTTTGTATATCATTTTGTATATTGAAGTGGACATGTTAAGTGCAATTTGAAAGAAGAAATATAAAATATGATAAAAATAATTTTTTGTGTTTATTTGATTCCTATTCAAGACACTTAAGATAAGATAAGAATAAAATAAGAATAAGTATAATGTTACTATAGGCGGCTACAGGGTGGTTTTTGGTTGGTGGTGTGCCTCGAGATTTTTTTCTATGAAAAAATGTACCTTGGCTCAAAAAAGGTTGAAAAACACTGATTTAGACCACATCTTTTTCTGGACTGTCCACCTGACTATGTGAAAACACCCTCTGGATTTATGTGTTTTTATTATTTCATTCTTGTTTTGAGAAGGAACGACAAGGTTACAAAGTGGTGAGAAAAATAAAATAGATATTAAAGTACCGCCATAACTTTTTTTAGATGTGTTTTAAGTACTGTACTTAAGTACCAAAATGCAGTATCTGTACTTTTTTTGGAGTATATACTTTTACTCCAAATCTTTTCTTTTATTAATTTAATACTTTTACTTTTACTTTCACGGGCTGAATGGTTACTCGTTACTGAAATGTAAACGTAATGATAGATAGCTCTGTCAGGGTTTGGGAAGCTGGCTCCTCATTGGTCGATTTGAGCCATCAAGCATAGCCTATTAAAAAAAGAAAGATGGCTACATTTTCTGTGACCTACTGGGGGAATTCCCAGTATCTTGTTAAGAGACAAACCTGATTAGGCTATCTATCTATCTATCTATCTATCTATCTATCTATCTATCTATCTATCTATCTATCTATCTATCTATCTATCTGTACTTTCAATACTTGAGTAGCAATTTTTGAAATACTTCTACTTGCAAAACTTGAGTAAAAAAAAAATGAAGTACTTCCGTACTTCCACCTAAGTCTGGTGTTGAAAGAACACTTCAACTCTTACTCAAGTCAATTTTTTTAATATAGTACTAGTACTTCTACTCCAGTACTTTTATCCATCTCTTCCCATAATACTTCCCCCCCCACTCATCCCGTCCCAGTGCGGACGGCGTGTACGAGGTTTCCTTCTACTGCAACGCGGTGGTCTCCAGCACGGGCGACATCTTCTGGCTCCCGCCGGCCATCTACAAGTCGGCGTGCGCCATCGAGGTGCAGAACTTCCCCTTCGACCGCCAGAACTGCACCCTCAAGTTCCGCTCCTGGACCTACGACCACACCGAGGTGGACCTGGTCCTGACCAGCGACTTCGCCAGTCGGGACGATTTCACGCCGAGCGGAGAGTGGGACATAGTCTCCCTCCCGGCGCGTAAAAACGAGGACCCCCGGGATCCGACTTACCTCGATATCACCTACGACTTCGTGATCCAGAGGAAGCCCCTGTTCTACACCATCAACCTCATCATCCCCTGCGTGCTCATCACCTCGCTGGCCATCATGGTCTTCTACCTGCCCTCCGACTGCCGCGAGAAGATGACGCTCTGCATCTCCGTGCTGCTGGCGCTCACCGTCTTCCTGCTGCTCATCTCCAAGATCGTGCCGCCCACCTCCCTGGCCGTGCCGCTCATAGGTGAGTCAGATCCTGTGGTGGTTGATTCTCCAAAGCGTGGAGAATCGGGAGGATTGTTAACTCATTGACTGCCAGCCATTTTCAGAACAGAGAGTCCCATACTGCCAGGGTTTTTTGAGCATTTTGACTAATTTTTCAAGAGCCACAGAATAGTTTGTACCATGACTATGTAAACACCGAACACACCAAAAGAAAGACTAGACTCTCTTCTTTCATCAGGAAAAAATATTGTTTCTACCTTATTCCACTGCCACCTAGAGGGTCAATTTGTTACTACATACTCTGTCTAGAAGCCTGATATTTACAGACAAGCTTTAGCAGATCGTCCCCCAGCCACTCTCGTTGAAAAACATAAAAGACGTCTATAGACCTCCCTCGCCGTGCCGCTCATAGGTGAGTCAGATCCTGTGGTGGTTAATTCTCAAAAGCGTGGAGAATCGGGAGGATTGTTATTCAATTCAATTCAATTTTATTTATATAGCGCCACATCACAACAACAGTTGTCTCACAGCACTTTCCAAACAGAGCAGGTCAATTACAGAAACCCAACAATTCCCACAACAATATTAACGCTCTGGATTTGCCACGACTTCTTGTTTTTAGAGGCTGACTTTTTGGGTTTTTTGTTTATGTTTATGTTTATGCATTTGGCAGACGCTTTTATCCAAAGCGACTTACAAAGTAGACATAATATTCCATTTATCATCACTATGACAATTAGCTATAAAGAGGATAAACACTGATCAGAGTCAGTGGTGAGATAGAGATAGAGGTAGAGGGAGAATCGGGAGGATTGTTAACTCATTGACTGGCAGCCATTTTCAGAACAGAGAGTCCCATACTGCCAGGGTTTTTTGAACATTTTGACTGATTTTTCAAGAGCCACAGAATAGTTTGTGCTATGACTATGTAAACACCGAACACACTAAAAGAAAGAGTAGACTCTCTTCTTTCATCAGGAAAAGAAACGTGTTTTTACCTTATTCCGTTCTTCCTCGACTTGCGTCTCACCGGCGACATGTTCTCTCATAGAACCGTTAGCTTTTTCTTATTTGCCTACAGTCTATGCTC